CAGTTACCACCTTCTCTATTTTTACATAAATGTTACGATATTGTGCCCCCCATAGATGGCAGTCACGTAGCAAATAAACGTGACCTCCATGTATTACGAGCGCGTTTACAAAACAGCATCTTGCATCAAGGTAGGAGGACACAAAGTGCCACGAATAGAGCACCTCTTGCGGCGCAGTGCTCTCAAAACTCAAGGGCTTGTAACGAGACAGACTCTCTATACAAGTATGAAAAAAATGAAGTTACCAATTTCGCGTTTTGTACACTGAAAGGAGCAAAATTTTTCAGTTGCTGGGATAGTCGTGAGTGTCGTAAATTTCAGCACCGAAAGCTTGCTAGCTTACAGCAAGTTTCATATTAAAATATACAGAAAAAAGGCAAACAGTGAGAAATAACACTAGATGATGTCCCATCAATGAGAGAACAGCACCATATGATTTAAGGCTGTGAAAATGCTGTAACGTGTTGCTACTGTAATAAAGTGAGTGACACTACACTGAAGATGTTAGTGTATCTTTCGTACTTGATGGCACCCCTTCAGCTTGAGGCATATTTCTATACCTTTTTCATTTGAATGAAATAATAAATCTACAAAAGTTGAAACGGATTGTTTTTTTTTTTCGTTAGTTATACTCCAGCATTCAACAGGGCTGTGCCACTTCGTTGATTTCACTTATTGCAAATAACACATTGCTAATTTATTTCGATTGTCACCGATTCTTCATGCCGCTGACTTACACAATAAACAACTGTCACATAGCTACTATACTAACTCAGCAAAATATCTAGGTGTCCGTCTTTCAAGATACCTATCATGGAGCAACCATGTAAATCACATAACTTCGCTCATTATACATTTTGATACATACGCAGTAACATTTTCATGGCTGTACTCTACTTCAAATTATGCTCTTTTAAAGCGATTCTCACACCTTAACTTGAGTATGCACTAGTGTCCTTGATTCCCATCGAAACGTATTTCTAGAGTATCTCAGATCGCGCACCAATTGAGTATCTACTCAATAAGCATGAAAGAGCTATCTATAAAAGAGCAAGCCCGGAAGCTATCGCAAGAGTGTTGAGACCGAGAATAGCAGAGACACCAACCTCTGTCATGGAGATGCGTAAATTGAGTGACGAGTGGCAGTGGGCTCAATGAAGTCGCTACGCCCGCACGAACATATAGTTCTCTGTGCCTCGCACCTAGGAAACAATGCCTTTGAACTTCACAGCAACTTTATACTGGCGTGAATGCCAACTCATTGCGGCAATGTTTGTGCTGTCTCGGCTGTCAGTGCAGCACGTCACACTACAGCAGAGACAACTGCTACACGACTCTATTGTTTTTTACACTCTCTTTTTTGGCCAGTCCTTCACAGGAAAAGGACAACTGAGTGCTATCTGCATTTTCTACCAGTAAACATAAACAGTACAGCACCTATTTTTTGTCCCTTTATTTCGGTATTGCTTTCATCCTGTGTATGTATAACCAACCCACCGAACTTTTCACCTACCTGAAGTACATTTTGTATTCGTGATATTAGCTACCAACTGCAAATTTTAGGGGTACGTGAAAGTACTTGCGGGCATATCAAATAAAAAGCGTGATTGGTTAGAACCCTGGTCGTGAGACACTGTCCTAAAGGTTCTGCAGTCAGTGATATGGACCATATCGTGGTTAAAATGGAGACTAAAAATAAATACCATTTTGCGTAAAGTCACTGAAGCTACAATGTTTTTTATGGCCATGTGACGCTGGCTTCCGCTAAAATTTAGCAAAACAATATTGTTAGTCACTTCGAAAGGCAAAAGAAAAAAAGGCCTCATTTGTTGACATTCTCGAGGCAACACATAACCTTTTATGTCTGACCGTTTCTACTTAAAGGAGAGAGAGAGAGAGAGCTATTTATTGAAAAGCAGAGAATTTCGCCGGCGTGTGTGTGTCGCTGACTTGCTACTCTGCTTGGGGAAGGGGATTTCTACTTAAAGGAACACTACAGAGGAACATTGACTTGGTTTAGATGGATAAACTGCACTCTGAGAACTCTAATGCTTAGTTTCACTATCATAAGTTTATTATTAGCGGAAAAAATAAAAGATGAAGTTTCATTTCAAAATTTCGCGCCAAAATCTCAGCGCCTGACGCAAGAATTGTCGCAAAACATTTTTGATATTTTTGTTGCATTGCCTCAAGGAAATTTTCTGGAACTTAGTCCTTTAGGTCTGTATGGCGCCTACATATAACAATGTACATTATTTTTATCGATTGGAAGCTACGTAGGGACCTAGCATTGTCGTGGTAAAAGTGGCGTTTTCGGGATTAAGAAATTGTAGTTTTCTAATACGCCACAAATCATTTGCTCTTTAGTGTCGCCTTAAAAGGCCATGAAAAACGTTTTTGGCATGAACGAAATACGTTGCCTGCCCGTATATAGTCGACGTTCCTGAGGTCATGTGAGTCGAACATTACACTCACCGCATGGCTTACAATTCGCTAATAGTTCTGAAAGTTAGCCAGAAATCGTTCCTTCTCCCGATGAATGATACAATAAACCCAAGTGACCACGCCGTGCTCAAATCAGCCGTGGCTTTTGTGTTCATGAGCACAAAATACACGGCTGATTGGAACATCGTGAGCTGCATAGCGAGCATGGCCGCCACGAGATGCCGCAACGTGCTCGCGCACTCACTAGCGAGGACACTCAAAGCCGCAAGTTCGAAGGAAAAAAAACAAAACAAAAGTGCTTAATGTCATCACTGAATATCAGTTGTAACTTTTTGCATGCCTTCCCTTACCCTCATTTAGCTCTAAGCTTGCTCGACGAAACGGAAGGAGGGAGAAAGGACTTATAGCGTTCAGCAAATAACTCCACCACTCGTACTTGACGTGTTCAAGTATTATTTGAAAACATCAATTTGTGAAGCAATACACGCGTTTAATGAAGCAATTTGACAATTAACTCGTAAAAATTCTGCAGGGCGTCTTTAAAGGATCGTGCGCTAAGCAGACCTTAATGGCGAGCGCATATATAATCATGGTTTTACCGCGAGTCTTTAATATTGTTGTCAAGAATATGCATTTGTTATGCCTTTCGCAGATTGCTGTTCTCCGGAACCCGATGGTCTCAGCAAGATGGCGGCGCTTCCCGGCGGTCGTTCTGTGGTGCCACCGCCATCGTCTTCTCCTCGTCGACCGGAGCTGCAATCATCGGAAAGAAAGTTCGATACGCATCCATCTCAGGCACTGCCACTTGGCTCAGGTCCACCAAAGCTCAAGGAGGAGTCCACGTGCAACGCCGGAAGCAATGGTTAGGGTTCCTACGGAACATTGTCACAGTTTGTTAGACAAATGTATTTTAATAGTAGCACACTAAATAGTCTATTCGATTTGATTGTAGTTTTAAGTTCGTACAAGACATAGCAATGACCTTGTGTCGTTAGGAGTATTTAAGCAACAATTGCAAGGTCATCAGTTATGTCAGCAAGATAGTTATCCTGTTATTATGCGAGCTTAACGTAGGTGACGTTGATCTAATGAATAAGGTGCATTCATATAAACTAAAGTTGCAGAGATGTGGAGCGCACCTCATAAAGTCAAGATTCGGCAGCAAGTAAATTCTTGTGACATATTGGACTAACTTTCGCAGAGCTGTACCTGTGGTGACGATTTACACACGACATACGGGAACATACTCTACAGGCTTTTCAACATTTTAGTTTTTTATAGTTAGCCTGGCCGGCAAGATGACCCTGAGCTTTTTTGTCTAATGAAAAAAAAAGCGTCAGAACACAAAGTTATTGAAAAAATTTTGGCAGAAATCACGTACCTTGAGAATCGCTGTTATGTGAAGCATGCACATAAAAGGTGACCATGTTGTAATTTCTTCATTAGGCGATACATCAGGAAATATTGCTAAAGATGTGTACAAGTGCATGCACAGACATACGTTAAACAGTCCCATATATTTTATATAACCCGTTGTTTACAGTTGCATAACGATGCCGACAGCAACATGGATATTAGCAGCACGACAGAAGCGATAATCATATATGAAGCACTGGTGCTTTTTTTTTCGCCTGGACACTGCTACGTACATAAACTTCAGTGCATGACACCTAACTACGATTGACGTTAACCCTACGTGACGGCTGTATTGTAGCAGTATATATGTAATATTTATTAAATTGGTTAGCTAGCACTCCAAGCAGAATTGAAGTTTCCCGAGCATTATGTTCATTTGAAAAGTATTTCCGAGACCTGGCTCTGTGGTAGAATACTTGATTGCCACGCAGAAGGCTGGGGTTGGATTCCCGCTGGAACCCTGACATTTATTCTTTGGGTTTTTAGGGTCAACAATGCCAATGTGAGCTTTTGGGTGAACGCTAACGCGTTAAAACTACCCATGTGTGTTCTCGCTGTTCCTGGGTATGTATAAAGTGTCAATCACTTGTGGCACATACCCGCATACCACAGGTACATACCCGCCTTCGGGTATGGGCCGCTGTCTGCCATATAGTGTTTGACGATGTACATTTTAATATGTAAAGGACGAAGAGGGGCATCAAGGTTGCTCCTTTAGAGGAGTAACGGACCTGCCACAGCCTTCCACCCCAAGTTAAGGGTGTGATCATTTGAGCATTGAGACGTAAGAGGCTACAGATAGATAGATAGATAGATAGATAGATAGATAGATAGATAGATAGATAGATAGATAGATAGATAGATAGATAGATAGATAGATAGATAGATAGATAGATAGATAGATAGATAGATAGATAGATAGATAGATAGATAGATAGATAGATAGATAGATAGATAGATAGATAGATAGATGCTCGAGTTCAGCCAATACAATAACTGTGGCCATGCAGTAATGTTCAATTAAACCAATGCTAGTATAACACATGCGTTTTTTGTGCTTTCCAGGTGGCAGCGGAACTAGTGGGAGTGGTGGGAGCCTTGGAAGCAGCAGTGCCGGCAGTAGCAGTAAGGTCAAGCAGCGTCGATCACGCACGAATTTCACGCTGGAGCAGCTGAACGAACTGGAGAGGCTGTTCGACGAGACGCACTACCCGGATGCCTTCATGCGCGAAGAGCTCTCTCAGAGGCTAGGACTCTCCGAGGCCAGGGTGCAGGTAGGCGAGTCTCAGTGCTTCATCTTTCGTTTTCTTCAGTAGCCTACGTGACGAAATCTATTGCCTTATTTCACGGGTACAGTGCGGCAGTACAGGCTGTATGTTTCTGCTTCGGCGAAGGCATTGGTGATCGGGGAATATAATCTGCCATTGAACGTGGAAGCTTGAAAGCCGCCATGAAAAACACGGGGGTGGGAGTGGGAGGAGAGATTGGAAAGACAGGGCCCCTCCACTTATATATATAAAGGGGAGGGGTGCATTTACTAGGGTAGTGATCGGTGATACATGTCCCCCCCCCTCATCCTATCAGAGACTTGCGTACATGCACACAGTCAGATCATGTAGGTTAGGGGCCTTTTCTCTTGCGCAAAGGACGACTTCGAAGAGATTGACAGCCGCTTCTACTGTGTCTGCCTATTTAGTGCCCTGATGGATGACATAAGTCATGTAATTTTTTAGGGGCGAAGCTCCTCTTTGACTAACCTTGTCCTGCGTCAGGTGTAACCGGTAGCATCAGACAAACAGACATAAAGACGGACGGACATATGGACGGACGGAAGCATGGACGGACTGATGCACGGACGGACTGATGGATGGATGGATGCATGAATGGACGAATGTATGGACGGACAGATGCATGGACGGACGGAAGCATGGACGGACCGACGAATGGACAGACTGATGCACGCACGGACGGATGAATGGACGAATGCATGGATGGATGGATGCATGGACGGACGGACCCACAGACAGGCAGGCAGGCAGACAGACAGACAGACAGAGAGACAGACAAACGGGCGGACGGACGGACGAACCGACAGACAGACAGACAGACAGACGGATGGACGGACAGACAGACAGACAGACGGACGGACAGGCGGACCGACAGACAGACAGACGGACGGACGGACAGATGGACGGACGGACAGACAGGCAGACAGACGGACGGAAGGATGGATGGACGGACGGACAGACAGGCAGACATACAGACGGACAGACAGACAGACAGACAGACAGACAGACAGACAGACAGACAAACGGGCGGACGGACGGACGAACCGACAGACAGACAGACAGACAGACGGATGGACGGACAGACAGACAGACAGGCGGACGGACAGGCGGGCCGACAGACAGACAGACAGACGGACGGACGGACGGACAGACAGGTAGACAGACGGACGGAAGGATGGATGGACGGACGGACAGACAGACAGACAGACAGACAGACAGACAGACAGACGGACAGACAGACAGACAGACAGACAGACAGACAGACGACGGACAGACAGACGGACGGACGGATGGACGGACGGAGAGACAGGCAGACAGACAGACAGACAGACAGACAGACAGACAGACAGACAGACAGACAGACAGACAGACAGACAGACAGACAGACAGACAGACAGGCAGATGGACGCATCGTCCCACTCGTCATCATTCACTCCATGAATATGCTGTGATTTTTCGTTGTTTTTGGTGTACTATATCTTGTTTGCTAAGAGAAAAGGAGTAGACCGGGCCTGCGAAAGGTGCCAACTCATCGCATTTATCATTATTGAGGGAAAAAATACTTTTTTGTAATAGCCCTGACATCTTACGTGTGCGCCTCTAAATAAACATGATCTGCAGTATCTGACAATAAGCGTTGTTTGGCGAATATATAGATATCACATTGACAACGAACACAAGTTAGCACGTTTACTTAGAATGGGACACAGTTTTGATTAATGGTATAATGAAATTCTTCGCCAACCAATGTCTTCTTGGGTCACCAAATTCAGAACCCATGACACTGGGTATCCCAGCTGCATTGGGTATGCTGCTCTTGTGTTCGGAGGCGCAGCAGAGTATGAGGATACGCTAACTCCAAGATGGGTATAAGAAATTATTTTTTAACATTCTTGGATCAAACGCATGCTGCGTTGAGTTAAAGACACAGGGAGCAGCACGTGGTGAAATTGAAATTATGCAAGACGCGCAATATACGGCGTCGCGGCCCACGCTGTGCCTTCGATGGGTCGCTAGTGGCCGAAAATATCTTGGGGGCCCGCAGTAGTGTTCTCGATTTTTTGGCCCTCATGAAACGCAGATGCAAAAGCCCAAGAGTGGCTGCGGTTCTGCGCTTACTCCCTCGCCGCTCGCAATCTTCTGGGTTTTAGGCTCCTTGGGGCCCTAATTCTCAAACACCATTAACCTTCAAGTTTCAGTGCCACAAACTTTTAAGTGACATTTTCTAAGTGATTATTTCTTATTTAAGGAATGAAAGCATGCCCTTTTCGAGCAGTGTGATTCATGACCTTTCGGTTGTGAGCAACAAACATCATCTTGTGTGTGACGGAAAAATTGAGCAAGATGCCAACAAGATAAATAGAAGATTTTCGGTCCGAGTGGGGATTCAATCCGGGTCGTTTGCGGAGCAAACAGGCGTTCTACCACACAGCCAGCCATCTGCTTGTGAATACAGCGAAAGAAACTTGCTCTGCTTCGAAATGCAGTGAAAGTTTCAGTTTTAGTTTTATTACTTACATAAGCGTCAAGTATATAACACTTGTATACAGATGAGGGCCCCAGAGTATGAATACTGAAAATGGGACCCTCAGTTTAAAGAAGTGAATTGAAAACTATTGGACGAAGATTACCAGGTGATAATAATAATCTCGTACAAGGCAACACAAGCAGCAACATGCTACAACAGTTCAAATAAAAATAACATATTATAATAAAACGAAACGCACAATGCAATAAGTATTATAAAGCAATATTGTACAAAGTCGAATATGACACCCAGAAGTAATACGGAATAAAAGTAGAATATATGCACAAAAAAGAAAACGAAAAATTAATGAAACGTTACACGCGAAATAAAAATAATCATGTAAAATAAATGACGACAAAGGGAAAAAAGTTATATACCATAACTAAGGTAAGCAATAAGCAATAAAAGGACATATTTTATTGATGTCTTGAAAAGTGAAAATGAGAACAAAGATTTGAGTTCAGCCGGCAAACTATTCGAAAGATGAATGGTAGATTTCCATGTTTTCTTGCCGTAGTTATTGGGAATGTGTGGTAGCAAGTAATTATGATCAGAAGCAAACCTGGCGGCGATAGTATTCTTGAGGGAGCTACATTCAGTATAATCAAAAGGAGAGCTGGGAATTAAGTAATCTAGAAAACATTATGCTTATGCTATACTGAAATAACTTTTTAACAGAATAAGTGGTGGGCTCATTAGGCAGAAGAAAGGCATTTGAACTCGAAGAACTGAGGATTATAGTGCGTATGGCTTCCTCTTGTATATGTTGGATGCAATGAAGGTAAAAATGACAGGTTACCCCAAGCGATTACGTCGTATACTTAATATGCGATTGAATAAATGCAAAGTAGCGTAAAAACATTAGAGGAGGTGAAAAATGCTGATGTACCTTGATAAGCGCACGGATACCGAAGGCCAACTTCTTTTTGATATGATTATTGGGAAGATGAAACTCCAAATGGCTGTCTAATGTCACGCCTAGAAACACCGCAGAGTCATTCATGGAAATAGAAATATTTCCTAATGATAAAAAAGGAGAGCGAATTAAAGGCTTTTGATGTGGGCAAAAATTGAAAAATTTAGTCCTAGATGAATTAATAAGTTTGTTGTTGTTACAACATTAATTTAGATGACCAAGTGTCATATTTAGCTTATTTAGTAATGAACTCATATATTTTCAGGTAGTGATACAGTTGTACTCTCTGCGTACAATACATTGTGGCATAAATCAGAGACAGCCGGCAAATCATTAATGTAAGGAGAAAAATCAAAGGTCCGAAAATTGAACCCTGTGACACTCCTGAGATCGTAATTTTAGATAGAGAAAATGTTTCACGTGCGTATACGAGACAGTCTTGGTCAGTTAAATAATACCTTAAAGACGTTAGAGCAGGGCCAGCGATCCCCTAGGCTTCCTGTTAACGATACAGAATTGTGTGATTGATGATGTCTAAGGCTTTAATGAGGTCAAGGAAGACGGAACCAACGAATTTATTTCAATCAAACATGTTCCTAATGAAATCTGTTAGACAAAGTTAGGCTAAATTAGTAGAACTTCTGGCTTGAAAATCGAACTGGTAAGATTTCATTATGTGGAGTTTATTTAGGTACGTAAGCTGGACACAAATAACTTTTCAGTTATTTTACTTAGGGAAGGGAGGGTAGAAAATAGGTGGTATTTTGATAGCAGCTCTTTATTACGTTTCTTGAAAACCGGGATTAGCTTAGCACGGTTTAATAGTTGCGGAAATTCGCCAGCTTTGAAGATTAACGGGACCACAGCCAAAATTTATGGTACCCGTTTCCTTGAGTACAACGGAAAGCTTACCAGTCTGAGCTTGTTCTCACGGAATGGTAAAGCGGAAAATGTCATAGAACATTAAATACAGAATTTTCTTTTGATTTGCGGCAATTATGCAGTCTCAAAGAGACATGCTGCAAACAGTGGATGCACCGCGAGAGTGATTATACGCCAGTGTAACGCCAGCAGTGATGAAAATGAAACCCTAAGTACAGACACGTAACATTGTGTTTGTCAAGCTTGCATGCAGTCCCGCGACCACTGGTTTCGAGCGTGATAAATTATTTTACAGGAGTTAAATCACTTTCCCGGGTCTTTTTATGCAAGTGCTTTTGGCCGTGCACAGGTTTTTTTTTTTTTCAACTTTAGCCATGTCGACCTAAGCTAAGTCTTCCAAAACGAAACGACGCATTAACACTTGATCAACAATTCGCGCATGGTAGTTCACGTGCGGTCGTATAGTTGGACGGCTTCGATATGTCATTGCTTGACAACTTGAGTCAGTTAGAGGAACGAATTTTGGCTTGCATGCTAGCGCAGGATTCCCACCCCTATCAAGTATACCGCCAGAGCGACATGCTTCGACGGACGACAGCGTAGCAATGAATCCGACGGACCACCACGATCATCACCACCAGCAGCACGCATGAAGTGGTA